GGCAGGAGGTGGCCTACGTGGCCTGAACTGGCACAGGAGAGCACACCAGTAAACAAAAAGGCAACGGTCCTGAGCTGCAAGGTTGTGGGGACACGTGCCATGGGCACACTTCTCAGCAGATGGGAGGGACTCAAGTAAAGAGCAGGAAAGTAGAAAGAGTGTGAGGCACTGCCCGAAAGAGCAAAGATGATGGACTAAACTCTTAAAAGCAATTAAAGAGCTGAAGACGTTTGAAATCAAAGCAGAAAGGTTTAATCCCCCTCACTGAATCTAGCAGCCAGAGATCTGAAATGCCCGGGGGAGGGAGGGGAAGATGGAACAATCAACACTCGATTATTAACATCAGGGAAGAGCATAATTATTAGAAGTGATCCTTAAGGTTGGAATTGGAAATAATAGTACTATATTAAAATTAAAAGGTCATTTGGGACTATGACTTCCTGATAGAGAAGGGTCCCAAGCTAACTTTGGTTTCCAGGAATTAGATCGGTGTACGTGAATATGTAGAATTTGTGTCTGTGCTTAGCAACTTCATGGGCAAAGTTTGTATACTCAGACTTTGAGGGAGGTATCCCTTTTCCCAGGGCTGCTCCTTACTCCCACTTCCCACAGAGCAGAGTTAATGACAGGAGAAAAGCGAGTCCCACAGTTTTGCTCAGGCCTGAAAGGCTGACGTTTTTCCTGGGAACCAGCAGAGCAATTTTTTCGAGAGACTTCTTTTATTACTTTGCAATATTCACAATCTGCACTTGCCAAATATTTTTTTTTTTTTAGCTTGTAAACTGAAGGAAAACTAAACTCAGAGCCACGTAAGATCTGATGTAGTGCCAGGAAACAAAACCACCCTGGTAAAACTGCATCCTCTGCCTCCTTTGGTGCACGCTGAGCTGTGTGAGAGGGGGACCAGGGGTTTACTCCCTGTCTCCAAGCAGGTATGGAGGCAACCTGGCACCCTCTCCAGTCCTGCACCCATCTCAGGAGCAATGTCTTCCTGCAAAATTTGACTTTGACAGGCATGGTAATAGAGGTGACTTTGTTTCCTGTGTATACTTCATTGCCTGAAATAGAGTAAAGCACACTAAGGGCAATATGTCATGCTCTGACTGCAGTGTACCTTTTTTCATCTACCCTTAAAAATCATCTTTACTAGTCCATTAGTTTTACTGCTGTCCTTGGATGTTATTTCAGCAGCTTCCAGTGCACTTCTTACTTTCTAATCACAAAGGCTTGTTTCTTGCCTGTTCTTTGTCATCTATCTCTTATCTGGCTGACAATGATTTAATTTGGTTTACATTCATTATTAATAGGAAAAGAATATCAATTACATGTTTTTTTGCATTAGGCTCATTTAAGAATCAAAGTGCATTTCAAAATATTGAGGATTGCAGAACTTAATTAAGAGGGGGGGAACAAACAACAACGTTTTTGAAAAAATATTGCACCACTGGCTTGACAAGAAATGATTAGTTGCAAAACTGTGGTAGCCCATGATTAGCACTTTTAACAATGGGATTAGATTAGCTTGAATGTAGTGATTAGTGAAAATATCCAGGTACCAAAGCATTGGTGAATGAAAAATAATGCTTAGTTAAGACTGGCACGGTCATGTGTGGTTTGTAGCTGTTTCACTTCACAGGCAAAGAGACTTGGCACTTGGTGTCTGAGGGGGGCTGAGCTGAGATTCCTCCCTCCAAAAATACTGTTGATCTCCTAACGAAGCTGAGGAGCAGTCCTGGTAGCTTCAGTTGGACGAGATGATCGTTGTCAGTCCCTTCCACTTGAACTGTTCTGTTGAAGTGTTGTTTTACATGCGTGGTCTGTAGAGAACTATCTAGGCAGATATATTAAGCAGAGCTTATGCTCAGTTGGAAGGATGCTCCTTGTTTCATGGTTGGGACAGCAAATTGCAGGAGGAAGCAAAAGGGAGGGAAAATTGTGATCATCTTTAGGTCACTTTTTTTCTTCTATTTTAGAGAGATTCTTAAATCTACAAATATGTGCCCTATGTGATGTTAAGCTCAATTAGTAACAGTCAAAATCAACTTTTCAGTGAGGGGTTTTCCTTTAAAAAGAAAAAAAAAAAGCACCAACTTGTCAGCACATCAGATAAGAGCAGCCACAGAGAGCAGCAAGTTTATACAACTGAAGGGCTGGATTCCCAGCTTTGGGAAAGTGCTTTTGGGGCTAATCAGAAGCTTGTGGCCAGCCTGGACCAGGCACGGGGCTGACACTATGCCTCATTTAATCCAAGTGGAAAGTATGGGACACAAGCATGGGAAGTTTTGGAGCAGTAGATAACAAGTGGCTGAGGGCAACAGCAGCTCTGTGTGGTGGCACAGACCACACAATTTGTCTCTCTGACTAAGAACGTGAATTATTTTCAGGCGGTCCTACCGGTGACGTTCAGGAAATAAGAGGACGTAACTATTAAAGCTCAAACTTCCATTATTTCATAAAACTGTTGATATCTTTCATGATCTGTTCTAGAAGCAGAAATACCAAAGTGTTTTAAGTGAACACCGGTAGCTCTAAGAACATCTTTTCACAGATTCCTGGTATATAGAGTCCCTTTCTCTGAATCTCAGACTTGAACAAAAAGCCTACTTACGGGTGTCACCATTTGTCAGCTGTTTTCCTCTTTACATTTTTCCTTTTAAATCAAAAAGGAAAAAGAAAACAACTAACAAGATGAGGACCTGAATGCTCAAAGAATAGGAAGTGTCTAATACTATTTCCTCTGGTGATTTTAACTAAATTACTTTGCATACCGATGACCTGTATTCGTTGTTCTCATGCTGGATGTTGACTTGTGTTCTCATCATGCAATTGCATATCCTACCCTTGCATTAGTTGTTAAATGAGGCAAAGTATTTATCTGTTGCTATGTTGCCATTATGTTCTACACTTTATTTGGATCATAGTTGACAGATTTGGTCATTTTCTGTTTGGGTTGGCATTAGCTCCCCTCTGCACAGGCATGGAGATGTGTGTTTAACCATCAGCATGGCTTGCAGCCTGGTTCCTCCTTTCTCTGAGAGCTTGACCATTACAATTATATCATTGTAAGATTTTATTTCTCTCCTGCTTCACGCAAGGTCCATCTGATACCAATGCCTGCCTGTTGCATTCATTCCTTTGTGAATGTTAGAAGCCCAGGACTGTTGAGCTCCAAGGATGCCCACCAGTGATTTGAGCTTAGACATGGACATGGCGCTTTCCTTTTATGAATCTTCAGTAACAGCATTGTCCTCATGATTATTCATATAACCTAAAATAGTCCAGAAATCAAGGGCTATTATCCTAAGATGTAATAAGAAAGATGCTCTTTGGACAAAACAGTGAAGATGTTCTCTGTTCCATCCAAGCTATGGATACAGGACAGTAGTTACTCTCTTCACTTAAATCTGCCCCATAAAGCATTGTGGCAGTTGCAAATTAAAGTGTCAAATGGAACAGTAGAGATTACTTACACTGGACTCATGGCCAGTGCACAACCACAGGACAGATCTTGGTGGCAGAAGCCGTTCTGTAGATTGACACACCATAAACATGGTGATGCTTCCTTCAAGTTGGTGTTGATGCCAGGTTGTGGACTGTCATACGTGTCATTTGGGTCTGATTTCCATGTGGGTTTATTTTTACAGCAAATGTGGTACTGTTCTATTGCAAGGCAGGGTTTTCTGCCCTGATGGGTATTTCCTAAGAAAAGTCTCTATCTCAAGCCAAGTGAGCTGGAAACCAGTTGGCAGGGACTGTGATCTCATTCAAATACGAGCAGATTAACATGATCTCTGATGGTCTGAGCTAATTTACCTCCATTGTGTCATAGATGATTATCTGGCATCCTCAAATACCTAACAGCAATGTACATCAATAGATATGCTAGATAGATAAATATGGGTTTAGTTAATTGTAAAGTGTCTCTATTATCAATGTTACTGTTCAGTAATGCACATGAATTTGCCTTTCACTTTAGATTTTAAAAATATTCCAAGTGATACAAGCCCAAAAATAATTTTGATGCCAAAAATTCACATATTTTCTTGATGTTTATACTGTTCCCTTTCCAAAAAAGAGAACTTGCGTGTATTATTTCTGGCTTTTTGGATTACTCTCCAAAAGAAGGTTGAAGCAAAATTTCCCCATGAGAAATGTTTCGTTGTGTACTGATGAATTTTCCAGGGCTAGGTTTGTTTTCTCATCTTCCAGAGAAAAAGAACCGTGGCATTTTATGTAATTGGAAAGCTCTGCTATCAATAAACGTCAGAGAATTAAAATGCTACTTGTCTATTGCAGGTGGGGAAAAAAGGATAACAAAAAATTTCTGACATTTTTATTTTTAAAAATGTATATTTCAGGATTTTTTTTTTACATAAAAAAGGTGTTTAGGAGCACTAAGTCTAGTGTCACTAGAAAATTGAATTGTCAGTTTGAAAGCAAATGTTAGTTAAGGTTGCCTGGACAGACTCCCAGTAACGCTCATTACAAAGCCTAAAGTCACTCTTGACCTGCAAAGACCCTCACACCCAGTTCCAGTCCAAGGGCCAATAAATGAATCTTAGGACTGCCCCATTCCAGAAAAAAAAAAAAAAAGAAATATTAGAACAATTAATTACTTTGAACAGATTTGCATATGATACAGATTTCACAGCAGTTCTAACAAAACCGGGAGCATTTGATATAATTTCCCAGCTCTTGATAAACGAAGCCTCCAGGAATGGGGAAACGTTCTGTTGTTTCTGCCTGAAAATGTCACCCCCAGAGTGACACTAAACATTTCTCATTTCTTGACTAGTATGTCTGCAGTGTGACTTGTGAAATAAGAGATAGAGCTTAAAGAAAGCTCTATCTCACCCATCTACTGAAGTACTCACTTGTTGCATGTACAAAACAGGAAGAGGAAGCAGCAATTGGCTCTATCAGGACAGCATCTCCTGACAGGGTGGCTCTTCTATTTATTGCAGGTTGACATGTTGGAACCGGGCAAAAACCCAAGGAAACCAAGCTTTTCAAATCAGCAGTCCAAAAGCCTTGATGATTTCTTCAGCTTCATAGGATGGCAACCTGCAAGAGACTGGGAATCCCTGCCTGCCATCAAACACACACGGCAAGACCAGGAGGTGTTCAGCGTCTGGTAAAGCCAATCCCGTAATTCCTACAGAAAGGTAAAAATTCAAACTTTATCTTTTACAAAGACATATGTGGTGTTCTTGTACAGAATACATGATTGCACGTGGGCCGGTTGTCATGGCTTGCTGAGGTCCTTCACTAGCTGAACTACAGCAAAAGGATGTCTCTGGGTCGTTGTCGGGAGTTTTGGCCAGAGAAGCCCATCCTTTCATTCTGCACAAGGTGAAAGGATCAGAGCAGGTTAAAGGGTCCTTAAAAGCCCTACTCCCAGAAATTTTCCCCTGCAGAATACCCTGCCATGGCTGCTCCAAAGACCTCTCCAAACCCAGGTGTGAAGTCAAGGTGGATCAATCCAGGAGAGAGTGGAAGCACCCCGAGTTGTGGGAACATCATGAAGCACTTTGGCTGCAGCACCCCAGGGAGGCTGCGGTGGGGGCCACACACTCTGTCCCACTTCTCAGAAAAGGCAATAAAAACTCTCACCCTTTGGTTTGTGTTTTAAGTGGAAACCACATGAACCCTGTCTTCTTCTATGAAACAGAAACAACGTTGTTCCCTGACTGGTATCTTCTGTCATTTCCCAAATTAGTCACATTACTGCCTCCTTCTGAGAAGAGAGACTTCTGCCTGTCAAAGAACAGCATAATTCTCCAAATATTTAGGCTAAGAGTGAAGGAATTGTTTAAATGCTGTCTCTGCAGCCATTTCTGGTAGTAATTTATTTAATTTGTCTCGGGAGAGCAAGTGCTTTGTTCCAAAAAAAAAAAAACCCCAAAAATGCTAACTAGAGACAGTGCTGAAGATATTATACCATCTCACCCAGCTTTTCACCTTCTCTCAGTCCTCGTTTCCAGAGCAGCTAAGTAAAAAGTTGTATTTGTGGTAAGATATGATCAAGAGCTTCATGGTCCGAGAGAGTGACAAGGGCTGAGGTTTTCTTCACACAAAGTTCCCTGGCTCCGTTTTTCTCCCACAAAAAGCAGGGGAACAGGGAGCTTCATTGGCTGGATTTGAGCAGCTTCTCGCAGCTGCTTTTAAGGGCCACAGATATTAACATCAGCCCTTAAAAAAACCAAGTGGAAGACAGGACCAGTGCTGGAACTGTGCCATCAAGTTTCCTTGACCGGTCTGGGAACAAATGGAGATAGATCCTGTAGGGTCTAGGTAACAATAAGGGATGGTCCTCTGGAGAAAGAGGTCCTCACTGGGTGAGGACCATTGCAGGAACTGTTGTAACGACAGCAGAGCAGAAAACGGATGGCCTGTCCTTGGCAAGGAGCAAAATTAGTTTTCCAAATAAGGCATGACATCTGCAAACTTGACGAAGGAGGGAGACAAACCCACCTGACCCTGGCTGCTGATACCATCGTTTCTCAGTGTGGTTTTTTGTCACCCATGTCTGGCTTTTATATGTGCATGTTCTTGTTGCCATCTCCTCCATCCTTTGCATAGGGTGTTTGAGGGACACCGCACTGATGGCACTTCCTTGCTGTGTCTTTGAGTCAGCGCTGAGTCTCCTGAAGATCTTCCCCTGTACAAACTGGGGGAGCAGAGTCACTGTGACCTGTCCCACCAAGCAGCACCAGCCATCCCTAGGGACAGTCACCCACGGCTGACGAGGTCTGTTTTCCCCTCTCTTGGGGCAACAAGTCTGTGTGCCATGGATCCAGCCTTTCCCTGGAGTGCAGAGGTCCCCGCAGTATGTGGAGGTGTCAGGGCTGGCCACGCTCCAGCCACCCTTTCCAGAGGATGAAAGGTTTCATCCAGCTCCTCATAGTGCAGATATATTTAGTGAGTACCCCACTCCTGCCCCTGATTATCACTCCTGGCCTCCATTAAACACAACATGTCTTCTTGGCCTTGTTGTATCAGAGCTGCAGTTTGACCTTCTTTTAGGATCCCAGTGAGGAAATCCTTCCCGTACCAAAACTCTGGCTCTTCTGCCAGCTCATCTGGAGCAGCAGCAGCCACCTCCTTGATCCCACTCTAACCTCAGTCTGACCTTGCAACTAGAAATCTTCCTGTTCTTGAGACTAAATGGCAGAAAAGAAAAGAAGAAGGAACAGGGGAAAAAAAAAAAAGGAGAAGAGGAATCACAAAACTAAGTAGCAAAAAGCAGAAGGAATAGCAAAAAAAAGAAAGTACCAAAAAAAAGCAGAAGGAATGGCAGAATGAAGTAATACCAATATGTGCACCACAACTAAAGAACTGCCTTCACTGCACAGGAGATTATAGGCGGTGCAATGGGTTGCCCAGTCTTGGAGGCTCTTGGACCTCCATCCTTGGAAGTCTTCAAGACCAGGTAGGATAAAGCCCTGAGCAACTTGGCTTGACCTGGTTTGAGCAGGAGGTTGGACTAGAGATCTCCTGAGGTGCCCCCTAGCCTGAATTATCCCATGATTTGACTGTTCCTAATATGCTGCCAAGTGGTTCCTGGGAGATGGGCAGCCTTTTCTGTGCACAGGGTAGGTGAGGAAGGCAGGGAAGGCTCTCAGGAGAGGCAGATGGATGAGCTGTACTTAATTGTCACACACCTTGGCTGTCCATAGAAAATGGTGCAAAAGAGAAACTGGCAACTCCACTGCACCATGGCTATGTCTGAAATGCAAGTCTGCACGTTCTGGCTGTGCACAAGTGCCAAAGACCCACAACGAGAGTGCAAATTGCTGGGTTTGACAGCAGAAAAACCTTCTGGGGCACACCAGGACGGAAGAGATGCAAGCAAAAGAGAAAGAAAAGAAGAGCTGGCTTTGCAGCTGGAAGGAAGGAGGCACAGCTGCAGTGCTCAGCACTGCAAAACCTGCAGGTGTAATTCCAGTGCCAGGTGGACAAGGACTTTGGCATTATATTAGCCCGTCTCCAAGCTTTTGCTTTCCCTATGTGATGTAAAACAGTGAGGAAGGGACAAAAAGAGACTGGTAAATAGTAGCTTGCAGTGACACTTAAAACACACAAGTGCAAAACCAGAATTGTGCAGCCCAGGCAGAACCTGCCATAACACAGTCTCCAAAGAGACCATCATCCATGTACCTTCTACAAGAGCAGATGCCAACGTACTATTGTTCTTATTTGTGACTCATTCCTGGAGAGCAATAATGAGTTTATTGACATGGTGGCATCTATTTCATTCTTAACCATCTATTTAAAAGGTTTGAGGTGGCAAAATGTGTAATCAGTGCTCTCCAGCAGCCTTCTCCCAGCAGCTGCTCAGCTCTGTGCCCTTCCAGCCCTCCCAGCACAATGTTTGGGTGCCATCTCTTGACTTCGGCTCTGGCACAGAGCCCTTTTGCTCCCACCCACCTCTGGGTTGTGTTTTTGGGCTCCATTCCCTACCCCGGGCCAAGGCTTTGGTTTTCACCTAGCTGATACTGAGCTGGGATCAACGCTCTATTAATGAGAAAAGAAGGGTTTGGGAAGCCCTGGGGCACAGGCATCACTCCCCAACCATCCGTAGGGGTTGTTTAAATGTTATCACCCACTGTTGTGCCAGAACTGAAGATGCAGAAGCAGCCTCCAAGAAAGCAAAGGGATGGAAGAACATCATGAATGGTGCTTGCACCAAGCCCCTCCCTCTGGAAAGAGCCAGTGCTGACTCACATGGAGGGGCAGCGGGGTTCGAGGGGCTCATGTGGGAGTCAGGACTGGAAATAACCCCTCTTCTTCCTCCCTGTCTGCCCCATCCCTCCCCAGCCCTATGGTGGGATGGGGAGAGCAAGCCCTAGAGCGGGAACGTTTCCTTCCTACGCTGAGCTTTCCGAAATAACAGCATGGGATTTTTCCCACTGAGCAGAAAATGGCCAGGAATGTCCTCACACGGGGACAGGGACAGGCAGGTAGTGCCGTGGGAACAGGAGGACGTGGAGAGATGTACGTCCTGTGAGCAGAGATCACAGGATCTCTGGATTTCTTTTTTTTTTTTTTTTGCCTGCCGCTTTTGGAAGTTAATCCCGAATTCTGAGGAAGAAGTATTTACTCAGTACTGTTATTTCCCATGAGAAGCAAAAGCTTAAGTTACTACCAGAAGTCTGTCTGTTGGAAAGAAAACGGACTGTGGAAGAAAATCACCTTTCCCCATCCCAGATGAGCATCAGAGCTATTCCTGAATCATCACAGTGTCTCTACGTGACCCTCCTTTTCCAAGGAAGGGCTGGCAGAGACCTCTGCCCAGCCTGGTCCCCCACATGGATGGGGGGGTGCGAGGCTAACAATGCTGCAGGGACAGTCCAAACAGCTCTGCTGGTGTCAAGATCATCCCAGCTGTACCTTTGGGAACCTCAATTTTGCTGAAGGGAGGGTGATGCTACCTCTTCAAGGTCAGGGCAGGGGCAAAGTTTGCCCCTGAGTGCAGGAAAAACCTCATTTGCACTTGCCCTTCTCGTGATGCTGTCAAGCTACCACTGTTTCCCAGTTGTGTGCTTCACTGCCTTGGATCCCATCTCGGGGGGAACCTTGCAGCCAGCCTGTCCTCACCCACCTAGAGAGCACTTAGGTCTACAGAAGCTCCTAAACGAGCCATCAAAATGGAGCTAGAGCAGAAAAAATGGCTCAAAATTTGTCCACGTGGTCATCCAGCCACGCAGCACTGCATAAAGGCTGTGGCAATGCAGGTGTCTTTTCAGCAGAAGCATCTGGGGTCATGGGTTACACCACCTGCACATTGAAAAGACTTCATCTGGGGACACCAGCATCCTGGGGACAAGGTTGTATTGGGGGACACCAACACCAGGTGGGTGCTAGGAACCAGGCATGTAGATGAGGGAGATCAAGAGAAGTGATTCTGCCCCTCTGCTCTGCTCTCATGAGACCACACTTGGAGGACTGCATCCAGCTCTATAGCCCCCAACATAAGAAGGGCGTGGACCTGTTGGAATGAGTCCAGAGGAGGCCACGAAGATGATCAAAGAACTGGAGACCCTCTGCTGTGAGAGGTGGGGTTGTTCACTCTGGAGAAGAGAAGGGTCTGGGGAGACCTTAGAGCCTCTTCCAAAACATAGATGGGCTACAGGAGAGATGGGGAGGGACTCTTGATCAGGGAGTGGAGTCATAGGATGAGGGGTTTTGAACTGGAAGAGACGAGATTTAGATTAGATATTAGGAAGAAATTGTTTGCTGTGAGGGTGGTGAGACCCTGGCCCAGGTTGCCCAGAGAAGCTGTGGCTGCCCCATCCCTGGAGGGATTCAAGGCCAGGCTGGATGGGGCTTGGAGCAACCTGGTCTGGTGGGAGGTGTCCCTGCCCAGGGCAGGGGTGTGGAATCTTTAAGGTCCCTTCCAACCCCAACCCTTCTATGATTCCATGAGGACAGAGGTTCTTCACGGTGAGTTATCCCTGGGGGGCTACCTGAGACCCTCCACCGGCTGCGAACTGGAGGCATCCCCGCGTAGACAAACCCATCCTCTAAAAAAGCGCTTCCGCGGGTCCCCGCAGAGGAGGTGACATCTCTGCATGTGCCCGGAGAAGAGGAGAAGCCACCGGTTCCCCCATCCCGGGGACTTCCACCCCCTCATCCCTCCGCCTTCGGGACGCAGAGCTCCCCCCCACCGAGAAGGAAGCGGGAGGGGTGGCTGGGGGTCCCGGGGGACCGGGGGGGTCCCGGTGTGGGGCGGTCCGGGGGCGGTCCGGAGGCGGGGAGAGCCCTGGACTTAAAGGCGGTGGCGGGGCGGTGCGGGGAGAGCTGCGCGCCCGGCTCGGCTGCGGTGAGTCCTCGCCCGGGGGTCACCCGTGGGTGGGTGGGTGGCGTGGACGGGGGCTCCCCGGTGGCTGCGGGGGGTGATGCGGGTGCGGGGAACCCCGCGGGTGCGGAGGGGACGGGAGGGGACGGACAGTCGCTGCCTCCGGTGCCCGCGGGAGTTGCGATGTCCTGGGCGCAGGGAGCGGTTTGCAGTCGGGCTAAAATACCTCACCGGGCTCGGTTCTTAGCCCTTCGTACTAATGAGCTGGGTCGTTAATTGGCGTCCGCTGCTTGCTTCCATTAGTCATTCTGTTCCTCTTTGGGAGGCTGAGCTCTCTTCCCCTCGCAGAGGGGAGTTTGTATTTGTGTTTCGAGGCTGTTCCTACGACTCTTCCACCCAAGGCTGAACTCGGCGGGTGTCGGCGCTGAGCGTCCCTGGGGCTGGTGGTGCTTCACGTCTGAGCTTCAAACAAATGCTCCTATCTTCTCTGGTGGTATGCTTCTTGATGCTATAATTACACTTAGTATAATCAACTCAAGTAGAACCCGCTATAAATCTCGCTGCGCTGCACGAGGGACGGAGAATAAGAGTTATTTAGGGTTTTTGCGTAGTTTGGGATGCTTTTCTCAGCCAACTGCTCCCTCACGCTTGTGTACATTCCTGGTGAGCTAAATTCACCAGCGCCTAAACAAACGGTTCAGCGAACCATGACTCTACAAATAAAAAGTAGCAGAAGTGATATTTGTCTTCAGTTCATGATGCAAACTTGGTCTAAAGCCTCAGCGAGGAAATGGTGTTCTGTGGGTTGTTTTTTTTTTTTTTTTTTTGGTTTTATACGGTGGCCGGGCCCCCTTCCCGGGGCGCGTCCGCTTTTTTTTCGTGGTGTTTTTTTTTTTTTTTTTTTTTTTTTTTTTTTTTTTGGGTTGCGAGGAAATTGTTTTTTGTGGGTTTTTTTTTTTTTTTTTTTTTTGGTTTGATAGATGAATTTCTCGGTATGAGGCTCTCGTACTTTAGCAGTCCACTTCAATGTTGTACTCATCAGGTTTCCTTTTGGATTCAAAAGATACTTGAAATTAGGTTTAGAAATATGTCAGATGCCAGGTCTCAGTCATTTTTTAGACAAATACCTTGCGTGGTTGTTCGCTATGTGCAAATAGCACTGAAAGACTGAAATTTAGTCCCCAAAGGAGGTAAAGAGTTCATAATCCAGCTCCATACTATTTAAGAAGTCTCCACAAATTAGGCGCAGAGATTAAATAAGGAAGTTTGTCTAACGAGCAAATGATGGGCTGGGAAGTTTCCCAGTATCTCTTGGTTCTCTCTTAGGCGGAGTGGCTAAACTGGCAGGAGGGAAGGGAAATCCGTGGTGGCAGGGAGGTGGCAGTGCCTTCTGCAGGCACACGTTGCTTGTGCCCTCTCCAAAGGTGCAGGGGAACCCACCCAAAAATGTGCTGTCGGGAGACCCAGGTTCTGCCCAGCTCCCCCCGTGCTCCTGCACGTTTCTCCATCTGCAGCCCAGTTTGTCCCATTTTCCCCCCGTTCTTCATACTGATCATAACCTCCTGGAGGTGCAGGCAGATGGAAAAAGCCTCAATGTGCAAAAGATCATTCCGGTCTATTAATCTCAAACATCTTGATTGTGTTTGGGTTGGGTTTTTATTTTATTTTTTTTTTAACGTCTGAGAAAGAACTGATATTTGACTCCTTGGTAAGTTCAGACACTTTATCTATATGAGCTTTCATGAGATAATCATTGAGATGATCTCAATGTGTTCTTGCAGCGCGGAGCATGGTTTTGCTTGGCAGGTCTGCTTGCAAGGCATTCACCCAGCAGTAAGAGTAATGGCTGTTAAGAGCTTCGTCACCTGCATCAGATTTTCTTGACGGATAAAAACAAGGAATGGGAATCATATGGCTCTTTCCAGAGAATATTGCTCTGCCTGCTGCTCCCGAGCAATTGGTTAAAATCAGACTGATGTTACCACAAACTTAATTTTAGTTCTATCTTAGGTATTTTTCAAACGTTATTGGAGTGATGCTCTTTTTAGAACTTGAGCCTCAAGTTTGAAGGGAAGACCTCAGACAAGCGAGGATGCCAGTGGTGAGGGTGGGAGGCCAGATCTCTCAGCATCTCCCACGGGACCTAGGGCTCAGTCTCCTCTGCACGGCTCCACCGGGGCAGCAACTCCACGTCACTGGCTGGTCTTTGCAGAGCTGGGGTGGCTGGAGCCACGAGAGGCTGGTGGGGGCCATCTCTGATGTTCCAACCCATGCTGAGCTTTCCATTGTGAGGAGCCCAGGCTCGTCCAAGCTGGGCGAGCCACCACCAGAACCAGGCTGCTGAGAAGTGGCATTTGTGGGGTGGGAAGAGGACACAGCTGCAAACTCACTGCCTCTTTTGCAATTAGCGCTTCTAGATAAGCTTCAGTTACGCAAGCTAAGGTGAGCTGTAAGTCATGATGTACAATACACTGATCTACCAGGTCTGACGGTCTTGAGTTGAGTCTTGGCTGCCTCTTCTGGCCAAAGACATTTGTGCAGTCCCACGGTTGGTCGCTCACACATCCCTTGGTGGCCACAAATAGCCCAAGGGGGAAAAAATATCCTCTCTTGTGTCAGGTTTTGCCTCCTCTCCTGTCTGGGCCACCTCACTGCTATCAGTGAGCTTTAATGTGTTCTGTGCGTTGCAGATAATAAAAGGATTGTTTTAAGAGTACAAACACCCAAAGAGCTGAAACTTGAGTGAAACCTTGGAAGCCTTGAGCATCCAGCGGTCCTTCCTGTCGGTCAGGTATAATAGGCAATATCTTTTCCAAGACTAGTAATTACACATAGTCATTAACAAAGCAAGTTTAAAAAATGGTGCTACCTGAGAGCAGAGGAGAGCAACGCAGAATTTGGGGAGCTGACAAATGTTGTGCACCGAGCAGCCTCTGGCTTGGAACCATCTTCTACCTTCAGTGCAAAGGATTTGGGGGTTTGTTTAGTTGTTTTTTTAAATAGTTTTCTTTTACTGTTTCAGAGACCACCTTGCAGGCTTTCTCCTGCAGAGACCCGTCCTTGCGCAGGCAGGCACGGAGGGAGGCAGCGTTTGCAGGGTGATGTGGAGAAGGACTGAACAGTCATTAGGGACCCGATCAGGTCTTTATATTTTAATCCGCATGGTGCTATTGCCACCACCATCGTTCCTCTCTGCTGTTTCAATGAGCAGCTACCTTAGTTTGCGAGGAGTTAGAGCTTTTTGGTAATTCAGTGGAAGAAGGATGCTGCCAGGACCAGGGACTTATGAAAATGCGACTCTCATCTTTGCCTCACCACTTGTTGGTACCAGGTTAAGAAAGGTGGTTGTAGTGGACAGTTATAATAGCATGGATCTGTGCAGACCCACATCCCTTCCCACTGTCCTCTCCTAACTGTACAAGACAGGTGATAGAGGTTTTTTCCTCCAATTTAATAGTAGCATTTCATTTTTGTGTGCTGCTTTGCAGGACTCACCCGAGTTTTTCATCCTTAGGCCTGACATTCATCACCAGGTGGAATCAATGCCTCAGCCAGGCAACATGACGGTGCAGTTCGATAACCTGTCGTGCAACCACTCCATCGACGACTTCCGAAACCGAATCTACTCCACGCTTTACTCCATGATCAGCATCATGGGCTTCGTTGGCAACGGCATCGTGCTCTACGTCCTCATAAAAACGTACCGGCAAAAGACAGCCTTCCAGGTGTACATGCTGAACCTTGCCGTGTCTGACTTCCTCTGCGTGTGCACCCTGCCCCTGCGTGTCATCTACTATGTCCACAAAGGGAACTGGTTCTTCAGTGACTTCCTTTGCAGGATCAGTTCGTACGCCTTGTACGTCAACCTGTATTGCAGCATTTTCTTCATGACTGCCATGAGCTTCTTCCGTTGCATCGCCATCGTTTTTCCAGTCCAGCACATCAATTTGGTAACAGAGAAGAAAGCTAAATTCGTCTGCATCGGCATCTGGATCTTTGTCACCCTGACGAGCGCTCCCTTTCTGCAAAATGGGTCGTACCCAGATGGCAACAAGACCAAGTGCTTTGAACCCCCGGAAAACAGGGAGAAGAAAACTCTAGTCGTGGTCCTGGATTTTATTGCCCTATTTGTGGGTTTCATTTTTCCCTTTATTGTCATAACTATCTGCTACACCATGATCATAAGGACCTTACTGAAAAATTCCTTGAAGAAGAACCAAGCTAACCGCAAGAAGGCTGTCTGGATGATCATCATTGTGACGGCCACCTTCCTGGTGAGCTTCACCCCGTACCACATTATGCGTACAGTCCATCTCCACATGCTGGGGCAGGAGGGCACCCGCTGTGAGGACACCATATACCAGAAATCAGTTGTGGTAACACTCCCCTTGGCAGCTTCCAACTGCTGCTTTGACCCGCTTCTCTATTTCTTCTCAGGGGGGAACTTTCGGAAGAGACTTACCACACTTAGGAAGGCTTCTTCCTCCAGCATAACGCAGGCCTTCAGGAAGAAGTTCTCCATAAAAGAGAAAGACGAGGAACCCTTTGGAGAAAGCCATAGGGAGAATGGGAATGCAGCTGTGGCCTCTTCATAAGGAGGCTACACCTTCCCCTAAGATCTCAGATGGGCATCAGAGATCTTGGAACTCTTCCAGAAGACATGATGGAGGCTTGCAAGCCTTCTTCACAGTTAGGTATGTAATAACAGAGGATGGTCCCTGATTTTTATGCTACTCAGTGGTACAGCCACTTCCAGGGATGGGAGGACCCTTCCCCAGGAGCAAGCACTGCTTGGACAAACGCAACCACTTAGCACGGAGGAACCGCCTCCAGTGAGCACCAGAAAACTGTTGATCTGATGATAAACTCGCATAAACTCTCCAAAGCCTGTGTTTGGGCATTTACTTCATGTCACAACTCTACAAAGAGCATTAATTCTTTGAGTCGGTGAGAAATGTAAACATGGCATTTGCTGTATGCGGCGCTCAAGGAACTGCTGACAAATAATGAGGGCAGAGTTTTCACCAGATCTTCAAACAGCCGCTAAATTATTTACACAGCAGAGGCCGGGATAATTCCTGCCCTGCTCCCAACTGAGTCTGCTTCAGATTTCAGCGTTTAAGATGGTTTTGGGTGTAAGACGTGCAGAGTTTGTGCCTGGGTCTGCAAATCCAGGAACCTGGGCTTCAGTCCCTCCCCACCCCCAAAAAGCAGCTCTTCAGACATGCTCCCGTGGGCAGCAGATCTGAATTTCTAGAAAAATCTGTGGGAGTGGATTTAAGTTTCAAATGTGCATTAGGATACCGCAATTTTATTTCAATGGGACTGGTCCTGTAAGTGATGGCTGGAGGGTACGGATTATCACTGCAGTTCTTCAGGTGATTTTACCTAGAAGTAGAGCTCTGGGTGCTCAGGGCCTAGTGCAGGATCAGGTCTGCCTTTCTCAACTATTGACCACATTAATAATTTTTAAAAAAGAAAATAATGCAGAAGTCTTATTTAAAAATAGCTATATATGATAAGTGATCCTGTTCAAGGGTGTACACCTTGCAGAAAAGAGGCGACCCAAGACGCTTGGAAAGATCTCGAGGAAGACCTGGAGATCTCAAGGTGAATCTTATGTAGGTGAATCTTATTTTGAGTACAGTAGGGTGAAAAAACCCTAGTTGGGCTTTGTTTCGTGTGTAAAGCAAAAACTTCCAAATCTTGGAGAGAAGGAAACATTCCTCTGTTTTTCCAGTGAACCCACTGAAAAGTAACGCTGCCTGTCTTCTGCTTGGAGCAAAGCCCAGCCTGAGATGTGTGATCCATCAGGACAGAAATAGAAATTCTTGTAGGATTAGGACTTTTAGTTGGAAAAGTGGTTGATAAGTGAATAGCACGTGTGTTTTGGTGTGGTATTTGTGAAGTTACTTGATGTTATCTTAAATAAAGAAAACCGTTTTAACACTGTAGAATAAAAGTGAGCAAAAGGAGTTTGGCTTGGGGACAGGGGCTGCCTGAGAAATTACCTTGACAGATACCCAGAAGAGCATAAATTCACTCTTTAGACATGGTCTGCATGTCCCTGGGTCAGCAAAAGGCGCTTAAATTGATCTGCAGGTCAATTTGCTGTTCGTGTAGAGAAGAGCTACATTTCCCCCTAAACCCACAGGAGAGCAGAGCTTGTAGCTCCATGATACAACTGTGGACTGCTTTGAGAAAGCCAACTCTCTCCTCTTACAGACTAAAACTTCTTTTCAAGGGTTAGCCCTGAGTGTCACAGCTGTGTCTCAAAGCGTTGAAGGCATTATACAACTGTAAATAAAATTATCATGGAAAACTGAGTTTCAGAATATGCAAAAATAATATGCACATTCACAAATGTTAAAGTATTGTACAGTAAAGCTATATATATGTGGTGCAAAGCATTTTTATTGTACATTAAAAGCATATATATATAATCTCTGTGTGTTGCAAAGCATTTTTATTGTACCAACGGGGTTTTTTTTCCTTTTTCCTTTTTTTTTTTTTTTTTTAATGAATCAATGATTATGGCAAGAGAAATGGCAGTGGGTTTGTGCAATAGGAAAGACTATTCAAAAAGTTTGCTAAAAATTAAATGAAAGTGTAGCAAGTTAAAATTTAACAGTTACAGTTTCCTGTGTCTTAGTCTAAAGTCTCTGCACACAGACTCTTCTTCCCTATGATATATTTTTATCTACACACAGCACTAGAATGTAGTATTCGGGTAATAATAATTTATAATGGCATAACAATAACTTAGTGAAAGCAGCACAGAAGTTGCTGAGAGGAGGACCTGGATGTTGGGGGACTCGCTGGCCCAGCCTCCGGGAGCTGAGTTTGGTCCAACCAAAGAGGCCTTTGCTGTAGCCCAACTTCCCTGGGCTCAAGTCACCGTGAGGGGACCTGTTGGAGCCAAATCACTTCTGGTAGCAACTGGGGTCTTGCAGAGATGAAGCATCCCAACAAAAGGCAGCCGGGACCTCCAAAAATCTGGATTTCCAGGTGCAAAATGCTGGTAAGATCCTTGGAGAGAAGTGATGCTTTCGGTGAGTATGATGTGTTTGGGTGTCTTGTGTGGTCACGTATCATACAAGGGTTCCTGCACAGAAAAGTCTGCTGAGAATGATGTTTTCTACCTGGCTTTTCCCAAAATAGGCACAGGATCTGCAGCAGAGCGTTAATTAGCTAAAAAAACTCCAGCCTGTACCGGTGAGGAGGGAGCTTTTGCCATCGGCTCAGCAGAACCCCAGCTCCAGGCGAGGGCAGTTCTTCTCTGCTTCTGACTTCACCCTGTGACACACCGAAAAGTGCCATCCTGGCAGCAAGTGCCAGGTCCAGGAAAAGGCACCTGGAGAGAAATACGTGCCAAGAAACAGGACCCGTCAACCCTCACGAGGCGAGTTAGAAATTGCGGCGTTTGTATGGGCTTTAAAAAAAATGACAGTGGTTGGGAAGAGGGAGGAAGTGCCATCCCGGGATTGTGTCGGCGTCAGAAATAACTGGGAAATGGAAGTGAGGTGTTGGTTTCTTGCTTGAAACTGGTCTTTTTTTTTTCTGCTGTGATTTATGGTACAATAGTGTCCCCTAGTGCTGAGTTATTCCCGGAGCAACTGCCTGTTGCCTGGTGAGATTTCTTTCTTTTTTGAGACACTCTCTGGTCTCCTCCCCAGTGACATCATCCTGTTTCCTCTGCTCTTGCTCACGCCCGGTTCCCCCTCTCCCATCTCTCTGCCCCAATTTTATTTCATAATCTTCGAGTTTTCCCCTTTCTGGCTCTATCCTGGGTTTTCCCGTCTTCCTGGAGGGATGCTTGGGCTGGGAAGGAGCCAGCCACGGAAGGGGGTCCAGCAGCACCCATCCCCAGGGGACCCCAGCCTTGGTGCTGGCAGTGGGTGAGGTCCCTCCTCCAGCCCCAGGCTCCAACAGCACTGGCCAACTTGGCTAAAAAATGCTGTTTCTCTGGGGAATGGCTGTCCCGGTGCGGAGCTGGGACCTGCAAAGCTTTCCCTGGAAGCTGGTGGTAACTACAACCCATGGGCACCTCATCCTCATGATGGGAGTCCCATCATTTTCTCCCTTCATTTGTCTGGAAAGGTTATGATGGATAGAAGCCAGAATAGCTCTGAAAGAAACCAGCACCCAGGATGAGCTCCTCGCTGTGCCGTTTGGGTGACATACGGCAATAAAATGGCTTTTCCTGGCTCCTACCAAAAGAAAACAAGCGGAGACCCTTCCGCTCTGCGGAGTCCCTCGGGTCCTTAGTAAGGGACAACACAGGATTATCCCGATGGAGCAGGGGAGGAATTGGCTCACGGCTGTGGGTGCTGAAGAGCCAGGCTATGCCTCATGCCAGCCTCTCACTCTGGCACTGCCTGGGTTGGCAAATAGTGCAAATTTCGTGGGTAAATTAGATAAGGTGGGTGCTCGTACTTGTAATGGGGCATCGTTTCTATTTGCTCAAAGATGGAAAAATAACTGGAGCATCCCAAACACTCCCAACCACTGCCCTGTCGTTTCTGTCTCTCTCTGGCTGTGGACATGTTGTCAGTCCTAAGCATTCAAAAAACCTTGAATGAAGCCTTCCAAATCGTCACTTCTTTAATATCGTTTTGGATGTCTCCATCTGCTGTTCAGTGTCTGTGCCTGTAGGGTGCAAGCAGGTACCATCTTCAGGCTTTGCTCTGCAACCTCCACAACTGGACACAGGCTTTTGTGTTCCCCAAAGCAAACTGAGAGTGGAAACTTCTGCTCTGGCCCTCTGATTTTAGCCAGCATTAAGTCAAGCCTCTGAGAAAGTCTACTTAGGGCTAGTGTGTGTTTGTGCGCCTTGCAACCTTCTCATCATTACACGTGGGGCTCAGGATGGGAAGTGTATTCTGTATGCTGAAGTATGAACTGATTAATATTACATTTACTTTAAAAAAAGGGAAAAAAAAAAAGGTGCTTTAACCTACTCTTTTCCCTGTTGGGTTTTACGACTGTGGAGGTGTTGTATCCCCTGGGGATATGAGGGATGTGATGCCTCAGCAGGCAAAAAGCAGGTGGTGCTTCAAGTCAGACTGTGCCTGCTCCCTCCAACAGCCCTTGTCTGGCCAGAGGTTTCACTCCCCTATAGAGGGAAAAAAGGTCCCATCTAAGCCCAAGCACATAACAGTACGTACAACCTGCAGGTGTGAGCATAAGAGGCTGTGGGGAAACCGATCCCTTGTTCTCCTTCCATAGTTTCAGTGCACAAAGAATAGAATATAGATACTGTGGTTTCTGTTTTTTACAAAAATGAGGGGATCTGGTTCTTTTCCCTGTGGGTTGAATAGACACCACCAGCTTCTTCCAGTTAAGTAGAACAAAATGTTTAAATACGAGAGAGAAAAATCTGCATCGTGTATTGATGGAGGCAGTAATCTCTTTTGGCCTTGGGGATTACAGTGGAGCAGATAAAATGCAATTACTTAATGGGAAGATGGGGCAGAGAGTTTCCCTTAGCGAAAAGAAATGCTGGTCTAGCAGACACCCAGGACATGGTGTCTCCCAGACAGACAAAAACCTCTCCCCTTTACCTCGCAGAAGATGGGTTTCAGGATAAACTTCTGGGCAAGCAGAGAGAACCATACGGGCGCTGTTTTGTCTTGGGAGCAGGCTAAAATGTGGTTTTATTTGTGCTTATTTACAGAGAGGGTCCAGAGCAGCCACCTGCTGCCAGAAGCTAACCGCAAACTAGATTTCTGTTTGCAAAAATAAAACAATCTTTTCTGTTTCCAAGAGAACAGTACAAATCTCGGTTTCCAATTAATCCTTTTCAGCAGCTGCTGAGGATGGGCATGCCCCTCCAGCACCCACGTCGCAGCTCACCTGGCTGCCCTCCGCCCCGCCGCCGGGCAGGTGCTGTGCAGAGGGTTTTTCAAGCCAAAAAATCTCTCTCGCTCTTTGCTTTTCTTGATGTTCCTCCTCAGCAACAGTCAAATCGCCCGGCCCTGACTGCAGGGTGAAAGGGCACTTTCTGATTTCTCCGAGGCTGTGTGCCCCCAAACCCCATTAGTCAGAATCGCCGGTTACTTCTGAAAATTTTACATTTTGGGGGAGTTTTTCTGTGATTTATAGCATCATTGAATCATAGAATGGGTCGGGTTGGAAGAGATCTTAAAGATCGTCCAGTTCCAAGCCCCTGCCATGGGCAAGGACACCTCCCACCAGACCAGGTTGCTTAAAGCCCCAGAGCTTAGTATATAGTGTGTTATAGTGTGCTTGAACACACTATAAATCACAGAACATGAAGCCATATTTCTGGTACTCGGTGTCATGTCTATTGTTTAGAAACTTTCACTGGTCTTTTTTCCTCAGGCTGTAAGAATATTTCTTTCTTTTTGACACTTGTGATGCTAAAACTGGGAGTCAGTCTCTTCTCCCAAGTCACAGGCGATGGGACAAGAGGAAATGGCCTCAAGTTGCATCAGGGGAGGTTCAGATTGGAGATTAGGAACAATCCTTACACTGAAAGGGTTATGAAGCCTTGGAATGGGCTGCCCAGGGAAGGGGTTGAGGCACCATCCCTGGAGGTATTTAAAAGACAGGTTGACATAGTGCTTAGAGACATGGTTTAGTGATGGTTTTTATCAGATTTAGTTTGATGGTTGGACTGGGTGATCTTAAAGGTCCCTTCGAACCCAGACAATTCTATGATTCTGTGATTCTAAAATGAGTTGTCATTTGGGTTTTTGAACTCCACACCATTTTTTCCTGCTCCGGGGCCAAATTCCAACACCTCAGGCTGGGAAATTCAGAAACTACGCACAGGGCGTGCATCCACCCTTACTCCGTATGAAGTGTCTTCACATAAAACACTGGCAGGATGTGAGAAGCCAGCAGCCCTTCGGTTTAACATGCAATAAACTCCAAGCACTGGCAATAAAGAGAGATTTCCTGCTCCAAGCAAGGTCCTTTCTGCCCACACTATCCCCAGGAGCCTGGGCACGTATTTTGGGGCTGGAGGGGATGGATGCAACCCACAGGGTATCTCCCACCCCCTGAATCCCCCCACCAGCTGCAACAGGGCACCAAGAGGCTGCAGGTCCCTTAGCAGGAGCTAATTCTCATGCTGAATCCTAATTTACCTTTTTTTTTTCCCCCCCATTTCCACTGTGATCTGACATTAGGGACTTCTTCCATATGGCAGGAGGGAGAACACTGGGCTCTTTATCCTTCACGCACGGCAGCGGAGGGTATGACCTGATTACCAGGGGGGAAAAATAAGCAGCAAAAATGAAGGAGAGTACATCGGATTTTAAAATATCATCAGGGTAAGCAATAAAATGCCTTGGAAACGCTACTGAAAGCAAACCTGAGGGATGAACAGCCCGGCCCCCTGCTCGGGGTTACAAATCCATCTCCTGGCAGTGAGATCAGGAATGAAACCCTTCTTCTCCTGAACTATTAATGGCA